TTAAATTACCTCTGCTGATTGCATTATAAACAAAAGCAATCAGAAGTTACATGGCATAAGCCACCATTAAGAAAGGGCAGTCCATTATTACTCTTTTGAAGTGACCACTACTCCCGTTTTTGACATATCATGAATGAAACTGACATGATTTACAGGTGGACATAAAACTAGGCCTAATAAAATACTAATAGATCTTCCTAAATCCATATTGGAAGTCATGACCAAATCACAGAGCATGCACCATGACTAAGTTAATCAGTTTAGCGTGAGATGCTACTTGCTTCTATCATTACTGTGGCAAAGGCAAGCCTACATGCAGAAAAGAAAACATGTATATATAAAACTACACGGAGATTTATCATATGCTGTATTTCGGAATAATGTCTGGCATGGATCGGCATGATGGGAGTGGTCAAGGATAATGAAAGAACAAGCAGCACATAGTAATTTTTGTTTTAGTCAGTTATCAGTAGCTGAAAACTAACCTGATCTCCTGATGGAAGACAGTCTGAAACATGAGTAACAACAGCCACTTCGTCCTTGTATCCTGCTGCTGTTACCACTGGACCATTAAGAGAGATAATATGCCTCTGCAATAAAATTTTGATGAAATTAGACAAAAATGGAGCACCAAGTGATACGTATCTATAGTGATGTGATGTCATGGACTGAGTCTATATGCTGATAAGTATACATCTAAACACTGTCATATACTTGTACTACATAATAGCATGTAAAAAATAGATATGCTTGAATGATAGGTCAAGGATACATTTTTAAATAGTCAAATCTACCATTTCCCATGGTCAATACAGTTTGAAATAGTTTAAACATGCTATTCCAAAGGCTTGTTTTAGTGCTACAATAGCAACAGCAAAGTCTATCATGATGTCAACTTCTTGACATTAGATTGAAATAGTACGGGCTAAGGTTGCAAATGGACTATATCAATATCCATGTCCTGTAAGATAGCCATATAGATGTTTTCTATTTTGGTTCAGATAGAGATAAATATACAGAGTGTGGATAGACAAAGATAGAGTGTGGGTGATTAAGATGGATATAGAAAACTGGACACAAATGCTGAGTATCAGATTCAAAAGTTGTACATTTCCTAGTACTATCAATTTACATAAGCCTTTTCTTTTCCACAACCTGCCATCATAAATATAGGCATCACATAAGGCTATCCACATAATGGAGAAAAGCGTTATAGTTGAACTTCTCTCTGAAGATTCAAACATAATAATTTGTTCTTCAAATTACTAACCTGCAACCCACCCTCCGTGAAGATGCGAAGAAAATTAAGATTTGTAACTGCAGCCACCCAACCAGTACCAAGGGCTACAGCCTTCACTTCCTCTGCTTCAAACCGCATTGACCACTGAAGCAATAATTCATGATCAGAATACAATAAAAAGTTTAAAAAAAACCAATAATGCATGAACATGATCAGAAATTAGCAGAAAAATAACCTCACTATTACTAGCCCAACTACCGAAAGGCCGATACATCAGAGTACTCATGTTCTTTTCTCCCTTGCATGGATTTGCAAAGATGCTCCCATTTTCATTTAGAGAAGCCATCGTGAAGCCAAAATGATCAGTCATTGAGGGAACCCTAGGACCTCTCCCAGTATCATGAAAATCAACCTGGCCACAAACAGATTAAAGTTCAATATTATGATGTAAAATAAACTATGGAGGTCCCAACTGAAAATTTGATTAAACAACTCCCGAAACAATCAAACTAACAATATTATTTAGTCACCTCTATATGGGAATATGTCTCGTTTTCAATTGTTGTTATACTTCCAAGCATATTGTAGGCAAGAAATCGCCGTTTCCCAGCCTGCACAGGAGTTGCACCCGATTGGAAAGCATCCTGCATTTTTGAACTTGAAGAGTTCCTTGAAGTGACACAGTGTTCTGTTCCAATGCCAACATTCTCCTTTCGCTTAGTAGAGCTTCTTTTACGTGATTCAATCTGACGAAGTAATCCCTCTTCTCCATCACTATTATCATCAGTGTTTTCATCTAAATGGGACTGCTTCCTAAATCTTTTCCGGCTACTCAGAAAAGATTCACCATGACCATCTTCTATATCATCATCCAAACTGTCAGACTTATGAGCATCATGATCATCTTCATCATCATCAAATAAGATAAATCCATTCTCATTCAGGCTAGGGGTACCATCTGTAGGAGATTTCATACACGTCGGAACTGGAGACTCCCACAAACTAAATTTGCCCATGGTATCAATAACCGCCAAAGAATTCCCATTTGGTTTCCAAGCTAAGCAACATATCCTATCATCAAACTTCTGTCTGTCAATATCCTGCCTCTGATCAATATCCCAGATCAAAACTTGTTTATCTAGACCAGAAGTAGCCATATACTTCCCATTGGGCGACCAAGAAAGAAAACATACAGTTTTCTCATGATCTCCCTTCAGTGTAAACAACTTCTCGGCTGTGTCTCTATCGTACATCACCACCTCATTTCTCAAACCAGGAACAGCCAGAGTTTCTCCATCAGGGCTCCAACTAAGAAGATTTAGGAGGGAGTCATCTGCTTCACAATTTGGGGCTACACCTCTCAAGGTATGAATTTGTCTTCCACTTGAGAGTTCCCAAAATATTACAGTGCCGAAACCATCAACGGATGCTAAATACTGGTTTTTTGGATCGAAAGCTAGACAAGTTACAGACCCTTTATGGCCCTTGAGGACCCTAGAGATTGAACTATCTACTGTAGCAATCAACTTGATGCCATCATCGTCACCAGCAGCAGCTAATAAGCTACCAGATTTATTAAAGGCAAGGCATCGTATCGGCAAAGTGAATCTTGTTACATTGCTCTGAAACTCTCCATCTGACATATGAAGCAGTTCAAAAAAAATTAAAACTTCGGACTGTGAACATTATTTAAAAAAACAGTCAATTACCAGTAAATGTGAACTTTTAGTTAAAAGAATTTTTCGATATTAGTCCTCTAGATATTTTGGTATTAATCCATTAACCTTTACTGTTTTCAAATTAGTTACTCAAATAGTTGAAATCGCTATTAGGTTTCCCCAACCCTATTAAGTTGTTTCAGAATTGTTACTATTAGGTCCCTGATTCTAATAAGCTGTTACAACATTAGGCCTCAAATCAGTGAAATTGCTATCATGTCCCCAAATTCTTACAAATTATTTCAAATTAACCCCTCAAATCAAGAGTAGCAGTAGTGAGATACAAGAATAGGTGGTCATAGTAGCAATTTCAATGATTTGAGGAGCTAATTTCAAAATATCTGGTATTTAAGGGGGTAATGTCAAGCAAAAGCAAATAAAAATAATCGAAAATGAGAAATTTTTAAGGATTGATCCACAACCAGCTAAGTTATTACCCTTGATTAAACATTTTTCTGAACGGACAAAAAAAACAATTTTTGAGGCATATTGAGTAAAAATTAAGGATTTGTGACCATAATCTCAGAGCTACAACAGATTTGATGTAATAAAAAATTACCTGGAAAAGTGTAGAGCTTGACAGAGTGATCGATGGATCCAGAAGCGAGAGAAGTAGAATTAGGGCTAAGAGCGAGGGCGGTGACCCCATCCTTGTGATAGCGGAGGGAGGTGGCGGCCTTCGACGGCTGCGATTGATCGTGGATGAGATGGACGGATCGGACGCGGCGGCGGGTGATCAGGCGGTGGCCGTCGCCGGACCAAAGGATCGAGCAGACCGAGGCGATGCCGTTGGTCTTGTGAGCTTCTCGAAGCTTCAGTGATCGCCCCTTCATTATTTAATTCTTGAAGTTTTGCTTCTTCTTTCTCTTTGTTTCAGTTAATTTTGAAGGTTAGGGTTTCGAGTTATTAGGGTTTGAGATTTAGGGATCTGCATTTTGGCGGGAAATGGGTTGGATTTTTTCGCTCTCTTTTGCGCTTTCGCGGGCTACGGCATCATATCTTCTGGTGTGCGTCTCGTACATTGTATAATTGTATGATTAGTATTTGGATGCGATGATGTTTTATCCCTTTCCTTTTATATTTTTGAAACTATTCCAAGTCTTATATAAGAAAAATGCTAAGGTAGCGTTTGGTTTAGGATGAGACCGGGACTAAGACTTATGTTGGAATTGGGATTAGATGAGACTAGGATTAGAAATCCTAGTATATTTGTCACACGTTCAAAGTCCTTGGGATTTTGATTCTCAAAATCCCAATCCCACATTTGGTTGCTACAATTGGGATTATAAATTCTATCCTCTATTATTTTTTCACCTCTTATTTCTAAAATTAGAGAATAAATTTTTTATATAACCCAATTATAAACAAGAAAACAATAAATGAAATTAACTATGCTAAAAATATAACAAGAGGACCTAGCTTAATGTGTCTAATTATAATATTGAGGATGATTACACAGTAACTATCAGAACGCAATCACATGTATATGTTTCAATGAACAAAAATAGAATGTGTTTAATTATACTATTGAGGATGATTACACAGTAACTATCAGAGAGCAATCACCTGTCTATTTTTCAATGAACAAAAATAGAAGCCAAAAAAATATGACATTACAATAACTAAATATTTCACAGATGCAATAGCACCAAAACCAAAAACTTAACATCACTTCTTCAATTATTTACGTAGCATAACTAAAATAAAATATTTTACATGCTTAATATCCAAATCCAAATAGCCCAATATTCACAAAAATGGTGTGCCCAAATACATCATTTACTTGTACCCCTCTATCTGCCATATACTTCCTTTATTCTCTCGACCTTCGAGGAACGGGCTTTTATAGAAGTGTAAAGAAAGAGTCACAGATCATAGCAAGCAAGTGATTACAAAAAAAATTAAATCTTAAGAAAAATGCAACAAAAATTATATTTAGCCACTTATATATTCTTTTTCTCTAACATGCCATTACTTCCAAGACAAATTTTCACGTTTTTTCGCTTATAGTTTAGCAAATTGTTGAGATTCTACAACATCCAAAAAGTTTGACTTTGCCTACATTTTTTTATGAGATAAATTAACTACACCTTTTAGAAGTAGCTAGTTTCAAATGTCCAATGCATCATGTAAAGACAAATTGAAATTTCTGATATAACTTGGGCTTAGCATGAAAGTAAGTCTTTCTATGACGACAACGATACGGAAGGAATACAAGTTTAACTATGATAGACCCATGTACATGAATGAGAATGTCAAAGTTGTTGGAAAATTTATAAAAACAAAGGTTATAGCATATAAATTAAATCCGAATTAAATAAGTAAGAAATAAGAAAATCAGGCCTGACGGGAGCAGTCGTGAATTCACTGCCCTAGAAGATTGAGAACCCGCCTATCGTCCTGACGCAGATGGTTCCCCCCTAGCGGTAAAAGCCCCCGGAAACGGCCGGCCTCTGCACTCGGGCGAGAGTGCAGAGCTTCAGCTCAGATGAAGGAAGTTACCCATAAAATAAAACTAAGATGTAGATGAAAATAATATGTAGGGGAGAGAAGAAAAACAAGAGAAATTTGTTGTATATTTTTTCTTATCATTTTGAGCTCAACATACGGATATATATATAGGGTTGGAAAAGACGTTACAAAACCCGTAATTAATTCCGTAACGTTCGTCATAAATTTTGTAACGTTCCCCATAATTATATAGCCGTTACACATATTTTTAATTGCTAATTAAAACATGTTTTATTATAAAATTTTATTACTATTCATGAAGGCAAAATTGTCTTTTCTTAACAAAATATCTAACAGTCCCCCCCAAAAGGCAATATTGACTGAAGACTCAGAAATCAATAAAGGTTGAGCGTTAAAGGCCATGCTCATAATAAACCGACTCATGAGAGTTTCTAGGGGTTAGCCCAGCCCCTTCTAACTGCGGCCATCACGGTTCCTCTCATGTAGGTAAGTCCTCAAAGGGTACTACAGCTGTTTATTTAATACCCCCCACAATACACGCGTTGGACTTATTAAGAGTAAAACTCAGCCTAGCCAGCTGTATCATAAGAGCATCGTCATCATAGAGAAGGGGTAGTAGCACAAGCTACATAGTGATATATGAATATATCTGGGTCGATGCTCCACACGAGTGTCACTAGTCCAGCTTGTTTCTACCACATTGAACCAACATTGGGACTACGTCTCCAAATAAGGGTTGGGTTGCCGCTGTCAGTGACCTCATCTATGGGCTTAACCCCATCTCCCTCGATGAATCCATAACCATACTCCTGGATAGACCCTTTGTCAAAAGGTCAGCAAGATTCTTTTCACAGACTTTACAAAGTCTAGAATCACAACTTTGCCTAGCAGGCGTTGTATTTATTTATCAAGTTCTTATTTTGTAATTAGTCCATCATATTGTTTGAAATTGACATTAGGTCATGGTCTATGATCATAAAAGATCATAGTCTATGTCTGAAGTTGTAAACACATAGTGTTTGTGCAGATTAAGATTTGACCTTAATATCTGAACATTTCAAACTAATGTAGAACTAAAATTCTGCAGTTATGCATATGCACATACATGAATGAAATTAATAATAGATACATGCAGAGCATTCAAGAGAACAATATATTTCATACTTCATAATTCATATGCATAAAATTTTTAAAAATTCTTCTATTATAAGAGGTTACAAATTGGTTGCCTACAAAGGAGACCATCCAAATTTAAATCGGTTGCCTACAAATGAGACCTTCCAAATTTAAATTGGTTGCCTACAAATGAGACATTCCAAATTTAAATTGGTTGTCTACAAATGAGACCTTCCAAATTTAAATTGGTTGTCTACAAAAGAGATCTTCCAAATTTATGTTGTCATTTTCTAGTACCTCCTCTTATACAAATAATAATAATAATAATATTTGTACATACGTGCTTTAAATTTTACAAGTGCATTATTGCATAAAACCTTGTAATTAATCATGTAACAAATGCAAGTTATCTAAAAGGACATATGAACATTTATTGCAATATCCATCATAACGCAATAAAAGAGATGAACTTTACATTTGAAGATTTGAAGTATAATCCACCATATAAAATAGAATTTTTAAAAATGCACCTCTTTGATTTGGTTCGCTCATATATTGATCATTTATCATTAGGCAATATATGATACAAGAAGCATAATTAAATAAATGCATATGAATTATTCTCATAATTCCGGTTCTCTTATTCCAAATCAAAAACTCCTAAAGTGAAAAGATTAAAGTTTTACCCGGGTAGTTAGCCAGGTAAGGATAGTAATAGAGGTTGATCAAAGATCAATTAAGTACCTCGTTCCTTGCAGAGCGCGTTACGCAACCCTTAAACCTTGCCTTAGACACCAACTAATCCAAGAAAACTTGAATCGGTTCACTCAATGAGTTTTTGTTCCTTAACAGTATATAGAAACTTTAAATTATTTCCTGCAACCATTTAAATTGCCTAGCAATTATACTGCAAACATATGTTGGATAAGGCCGAGGAGGGGTTTACCTATTGATGTTCGAACCTCATGATTTTTATGTCTTGAGAGTAAAAACCCATCTGCTGCAGACAACTGCCACAGAAGTTGCTGAACAAATTTGCATTCACTTTTACCACATTATGTACTAAGCTTATTAGATGCATAAATACACTAAAGTATGGAATTATTAATAGGAGACACCATATTATTGATAGCTTAAAGAAATAAAAGTATTAAACCATGAACAAATCCAGATATTTCAAAGCATCTATGCATCCAGAGTTTGTTCTCTTTATTCTTGTCAAAACCATGCATATGAAATTTTCAAGAATAAAAATGTGAATTGCTGCAAATTTATAGCATGTTTCAAATGCGAGCATATTCACTAGCTAGCATAAGGGGATAAGGGTAGGTTTTAGATGATTCTAACAAATATAAACTAGGCTTCTAGAAACCAATAAAGGTTCTTTGATATTCGTAACTTGCAATAATTATTGATTATAAAACAACTATAAGATAAATGTAATTAACTGTTAAATTAAACTAACAGAAATATTTAGCTACAATTTTTTAATTATTAATTTTTTTATTAAAAAAAATAACCAAAACTGTTTACATGAACAGTAACTTTTTAAATAAAATAAACAGTAGCGTTTTCAAAATAAATGAACAGTAACAGTTACATTTTTGTGAACAGTAACAATTTTTTTTAAAAAATAATTAACAGTAATTAAAGCAACTAATTACAAAATTTAATTTATTTAGGATGAATAGTAACAGTTAAATATATTTTTTTTAAACAGTTACTGTATTTTTCTGAGTGAACAGTACCAAAACTGATTTTTTTAAACAATTAATAGATAATCAAGCAATTAGCAATAATTTTTTTTAAGCAGTAATTTTTTAAATAAACAGTAAATACAAAATTACCACGATGTTTATGAACAGTAAATTTTCGGGTGAACAGTAAACTATTTGATGAACAGTGATTTTTTACATTTATTTATTTTTGGTTTTAAAAAAATTAACAACTATGAATTATCAATCTTCTAGATTGTTGGAAATTTTATAAAAACAAAGGTTATAGCATATAAATTAAATCCGAATTAAATAAGTAAGAAATAAGAAAATCAGGCCTGACGGGAGCAGTCGTGAATTCACTGCCCTAGAAGATTGAAAACCCGCCTATCGTCCTGACGTAGATGGTTCCCCCCTAGCGGTAAAAGCCCCCGAAAACGGCCGGCCTCTGCACTGGGGCGAGAGTGCAGAGCTTCAGCTCAGATGAAGGAAGTTGCCCATAAAATAAAACTAAGATGTAGATGAAAATAATATGTAGGGGAGAGAAGAAAAACAAGAGAAATTTATTGTATATTTTTTCTTATCATTTTGAGCTCTACATACGGATATATATATAGGGTTGGAAAAGACGTTACAAAACCCGTAAT